CCTGATGTTTCCTTGGAGGGCTGAGAGGGAGCCCCCTTGTGGAGTACTATGAAGCCGTTACCATGGCAAGTCCACTGTGCTGTACAGTAGAAGCCATTTTAAGACACACACACATACACCCAAGGGGTGTTAGGGGTGTCTTACCCCCATAGTATTTATTTCCAGAAGGTAAGTCATCTGTACCAAGTTTGGTTGAAATTGCTCAAGGAGTTCCAGAGTTATAATATATATATATATATATATTAAGATTAACTCTCAAATGTTTCACACAACAGTCTTGTTCTACAGCCTTTCCAGGATAGGGGTGCCAGAGGGAAAGGGCTACAACAGGAGGGGGGGAAATTTGCCTCCAGAGCCTCCATGTGTGGTAAGATTTTAAGCTTTGCTTTCTGAGTTAACCATATGGAACAGGCTAATTCTACTTGAAAGAGGCAGTCTTGACTATTGTTGAGAATCACACCAGGAAGGGCTCTAGAGATTAAAATCAGCATTTGGATCTGTAAACTACAAATTTACTGGAAAAGTTAGTTGGATTAAATCCCTTAACAGTAAGAGAGAATACAGTATCAATGGCATTTCCATATTATTTTTAAAAGCAGGCCCTATATAAATACATTGCAGTAGATTAGCTTTAAGAAACCATGACAGGATTTACTGTCTGTTCTCTGAGCTTTCATTCAACTGAATGATTCATACAACAACAAACAAAACCAAGGATTAGGTTGGGAATTTAATAATGCCATTTGACTACCCTGTTTCCCCCAAAATATGACTTACCCCGAAAGTAAGTCCTAGTTTGATTTTTACACATGCGCCCAATATAAGCCCTACCCTAAAATAAGCCCTAATTAAGATCCCGCCCACTCCAGAGTGCACAGGTGAAAATTATGCTAGGATGGGAATAGGGTGTGTGGAGCTGCCCTACTACTTACCTTTAACAGTTGTAGCCAGGCCTTGCACACCTTTCTGGCCTATTTCTTCTGTAGCTGGCAAGGTTGGCAAGGCTTTCCTGAAGGCCTCTATAGCTCATAACTAAGCTCAGGATCGATCTGGAGCTCTGTTATCTGCTGCAGGAACCTTCAGGAAAGCCTTGCCGGCCACAGAAGAAATTCCTAAAGGCCTCTGACAGCAAAAAGGAGGCCGGGGGCGATTCATGCAAGTGAGGTTAGTCAGTGGATGACATCCCCCGAAAATAAAACCTAGTGACTTTTTCTTTGCTGGCAAAAAAATATAAGACAGGGTCTTATTTTCAGGGAAGTAGTACTTATATATATAATTATATACTATTGTTAAATATCACCGCCTACAAAAATTGTTAATTACATAAATCAACTTTGTTAAGACTTTGCAGCTTTGTAACAATATAAATAGATCTATATTTAACCTTGGACATTTATATACTATTTAAAATCTAATTGTCATGACCTTTAAGTGGGTGAAACAATGGATCACAGGGCAACAAATTTTAAATGATTATGAATGGTATAACTTATGGCCGTGATGGCGAACCTATGGCACGCATGCCAGAGGTGGCACGCAGAGCCCTCTCTGTGGGCACGTGAGACATCACCATAGCTCAGCTCCACCATGCATGTGTGCACGCATCTGCCACTGGCCAGCTAGTCTTTGGGGTCTCTGCCGCGCATGCAAGGGGGTTGGGGGGCATGCGGGGGATGGGGTGCATGCATGGGTGAATGGGGCATATGTGCAGGGCACATGCGCAGGGGACATGCATGTATTGCATTTTGGGGATGCATGCATATGTGCTTTGGGCACTCAGTGCCCAAAAGGTTAGCCATCACTGACTTATGGAATGTGTCAGAATCTGAGACCCATGACTCCCAAGGGAATGAAAGTTGGGAAGTAGTGGCTACTTCAGTGTTACTGGCTATTGCTATGCTGCTGGGCTTCTGGTGCAGTCATGTGGTTTTCATTTTCAACATTATGTGACAGTTTCCCAGCCAGTCTTGCAATCCCTCACTTCCTTCCCCCACCAAGCAGTAACTGCTTACCTGTTGAAGGGAAGGGAGGGAAGGAAACCCTGTTCACCTTGCAGGCTTATGCCAACTCCCACATGCACTCAGAGACCTGTGCCATCCCAATGTACCTTCCCTGATCTATGCCACCCACCTAAATGCCTCCCCTGACCCACGCAGGACCTTCCCTGACCCATGCCATCTCCCAAGCACTCTCCCTGATCCATACAGTACCCAAGTGTCTTTCCTGATCCATGCCGCACATCTTGCACACCACTCCCAAATCCTTATTCCTACAAGCACCTTCACTAACCCATGCTCTACTTCTTATGCATACACATCCTTCTTGACTGCCCCTCCCACATGCATTCCCTGACCTGCATAGCACCCCTTGTGTACTTAAACCATACCAGGCCCCAGCACACCTCTCACACACACTTATGACCCCCCTGTGCATTCTTCTTGACCCACATTACCCCAAGGAAGGAAGGAAAGATTTTTTTTTTATGATCCCTGCCAACTTCTCACAAGGAAAATCAATGTGCAGGCCAGCAAAAAGTTGGAAGTCGCTCCTACTCCCACTGCTTTTCTTTTTGCCCACTTGTTATCATTCTTTTCTGTTTAGGTAAGGAAATATCCCTGAAATAATGACTCAACAGGGCACAGATTGTCCACTGACAAAGAAATCCTAGAATCTGAGTAACCTGGAATAAAAGTTCAGTTCAAAGCACTAAAAGTTTATTATGTGCAACTTATACACAAGAATCTGATCTACTAATGGTCAAATCAAACTGGCACTAAATGAGGGTCAATGGAATTCCTAGGGGGTTGGACTTGGATCTCTTGTGGAAGCGTAGCAATTCCAAACTAAGGATGCATTTTACCCCACCCTTGGGCTCAATCTATTCATCTTCTACAGAACCATTCCTATTTGATTCTTTGAACAGATTCTGCTTTTTTGTATTGTCCAATATAGGCAACCTCTGGCATTCTAGATGTTGCTGAATTAAAGTTCTCAACACCACTCAAATACATTAGACTATAATTTCCATAATTCCAGACAGCAATAATTGGCCATGTCTCCTAAGGATTCTAAGAATATAATTGAGCAGCATATGGAGCCAGTTTGTCTATCTAGATGTCTTCTAAGCCAGCTATATTAGACTAATTCCTATTATCCTGGGCAGCAAGTTGTCTAGGGAAGATGGGCAGTCCAACACATCCGGAAATTATACATACTAGCTGCAAGAGCAGATGTTGAAAATGTTGAGCTACAAAAATAAGGGACTGATTCAGTATTCACATACAGTTCTAAGACATGGTTGGAAGAAGAAAGCACTGACTGCATAACAGATAATGACAATCTGTAACACTGTTTAGAAACAATGGCTTGGCAAGATGGATATTCCAAAACATTGAGGCAAAACAAAACATTCTATTTCAGAGTGATTGAAGGCTATTTATATATGGTATGGTTTATGGTTTTAATATTACTGTAAGTGCATACCCAGTTATAATAATGACTTCATCAAATCATGGTTAAAAAGAAGGAAGAGTTAGTTCCAGCCAGCTTCTTATGTTCCTGGTAAGATTAAAGAATAAAGTCTTACCAAAGGCTATGTATAGGACCTGATGGATGAACATGGTTGTTTAAAGCAAAATAAAATAGTTCAGCTTTCTCCTGAATTTGATAAGGCATTGCAGATGCAACTATGGGAGTAATATTCAGTATACTCTACAAATCTGCTAAAATACTACTGGTTTATGGAATTTACTCCTGAGTAATATATTTACATCTAGAAATTTTGCACTCATCTGTCTGCTGACTTTGGATATTAGTTCCATTGTCATGGGGCACATAAATTAAAAAATAACCTTTTAAATCTTCCCTTTAGAGAAGCCTGCACAAATATGATAAAATCACCCTATAAATGAAGCTGATAAATACCATACCGCTCACATAATGATCTGTAAAATATGCATTATATAGGTTGCCATTTCTTTCTCCATAGGGAGGAACCAGTTTAAAGTATAATCAGTCAAAATAAACAAGTTATAAATGTATCTTATAAACAGAGAGAAAATTTAATCCTATAGGCTGTCAAAGGAAACTGAAATATTAGATCCTATATTTTAGAATTATCAGAATTTGACATGAGTTATAATTATATAAAAGTTGCAGTTAAATCATTGAAGAAAGAGGAAGACCCAAATTTTAATCTCTGCCAATCATGGAAACTATTTGTTTTCTTGCA